TTGAAATATTCAATGCATTCGAGGATTTAATTACTCAAATGGACTCTGAAAACAAGGAAATAATTTTACTTGGAGATTACAACTGCGATTGGTCTCGCTTGGATAGTAACAGCGCTAACGCTCAGACAAACAAGCTTGCTGGAATTGCACAGACATTCCAATTTCAACAATTAATTAGTGAACCAACGCGAATTACAGCTAATAGTAAAACCTTAATAGATCTAGCATTCACCAATAAACCGGAATTGATAAATGGCTCGGGTGTCATTCATCTAGGGATTAGTGATCACAGCTTAATCTATATACAGAGAAAAATTTCCGTTCCCCGTAAAGAGCCAAAAGTGATTAAATCAAGAAATTTCAAACACTACAACTCAAACAACTTTAAATCAGACCTTTCCACATACTTATATGATCAAGTATTCTGTGATACAATGCTTGATCCAAATATTATGTGGGAAAATTGGAAAACAATATTTCTGTCGGTTGCAGATTTTCATGCACCAGAAAGAACAAAAAAAGTTAGAAGCGAGTACGCGCCATGGATTACAGAAAATATTAAACAAACTATGCGTCGAAGAGACTTTTTAAGAGTGATTGTCAGCAAAAATCGAACATTGGGCGGCAAGGGTTGATAAATCGATTCCGCTCATATTTTAACTATATATAGGCCCTAATGTAACAAACACCACTGTGTAGTTTGTTTGGTAAAATTCGGCTTAGTATTCGGGAAAATCGCAGAAAATACTTTACGAATTAAATTCGCTAATTTTGAGCCGATAATTTAGGTTAACTTCAACAGCTTCTCGGGACAAAACAAAATAACCCAGCGCTGTAGTATTCTCACACGAAGTTAATTGCTATCTTAATATACAACAGGTAGAGTTTCAGACATTATCGTTCGGGTTTTTGATTTTTATTGCAGTTCTCTTTGGAATACATAGGAAGCCTCTCTCAAAATATTTCAAAGTAAACTAATTTTTTTCCATGTGCGACGAAATTTTATTTACTAAAAAACAACCCACAATCACCTTTAAGTGGTGTATTTTGTGAATCGTTTAAAATTTTCTTGGGGAAATTATTCTGCGTGATGCAACGCATCCCCAAAGTTGTAAGAAATTTACAAATTTTGCATGTCGGCAAGATCAATCAATTTATATATTGTGTACATATGTAGCGTTTATAAAAGCGGCTCAGTGTTTGTATTTTAAATTAAGAACAAAGTGAATGTTCTTCATCGTAAAAGGAACTGACTAATCACAAATTATATTAAATTCCCTTTTTAAAATCCATCGATTGACCCATATACTATATAGTCTCCACTAGTAAGTGCATAATATTAGTGTCTATTTCTGTCCATCGTCAAACTCGCATTTCGTACGAGTTATTTCGACAAAACAAATATCATAATTCACTGAAATTTTCGAAATTTCCTGTCCTTTTCTGTCGCTTGTCTTTTGGGCTTAACGTTTACACAACACGGCTATGCATGGGTGCCTTAAAGCAGCAATATTGCCATCAGCGTCGTGAATTTCAAAGCAGTTACTTATTACCTTATTACTGTATTAAATACATGTAGATGAAATTGGCAACTATCCGTCTGTGTTTAATATTAACGTAAACCTGTAACGTACGGCCCTATAGCCTGCGTAAAAAAACATGAAAGTGTTTTACTTTCTGGGTCGATAGAAGTCTTGTTTTACAAAGCCGTTTTTTGTAAACAAACGTAAAGAAATAAACTAAAAAAAAAAGTCAAAAACAAAACACCGCCAGCGGGTCAAATTTTAACCCAGGGTTGGCCGCTATTAACAATCGGCCTGTATTGTTTATACTATAAAAATTTGTCTGAAGACTGCGTGATAAAACTTTATATAGATTCGGCCAGATATATAATTATATAAATGGAGATTTCTTGCTCGCTAAAGGAGATTATTGGTGGGACTTGTGGATACGATAGAAAAGATAGAACACAAAGCACTGTAGTTATTCCTTTACAAGTTTGTAACAAGGAAATCGTGGCACATAAATCAACATTTCAATTTTCTGGCATCGAAAGCGAGGTAGAACTGATTCTTAGCCGAGCAGGCATATTTATTTCGCCGGAAAATATCCATTGTTGGACAATTTGCCCGCTACATCGATCCAAACTTGGCCTGGGGTGGAGCAGAGGCAATAATGCAAGGTGTAGGGTACCCGCTGCACTGTCAAGTCACAGGCAAGCAAACGGAAAGTGGCCAAAGTGCGATAGAGGAATAAATAAGGACGATTCGCAGTTAATATTAAAGATGACTGGTATATTTTTGCAGGTTGGTTCAGGTAAGAGTGGTTGAATAGTTTCGAGTTGATTTATGTTGATAACATATTAATTACTAGCTTGATTCTTGAATTTTCTATGTGTTGTTTTATCCAGGTATTTGTTCAACATGTCGTAAGAAGTTAAGAGCATTAGTGCTAACCAGTCCGCATAAAGCAGAGAGTGTTATCGATCAAATGGATGCGTTAACACTGGTAAGTTTGAATTATGTTATTTGTATTGCGTGTCGAATTTTATACCTGAAACTCTATCTTCAGTTTTCGTGGGAAACGGCGGGAAATGAAAGCTTTATCGTCCCAGCCAATGCTAGTGATTGCAATGCTTTTCTAATCTTTCAATTAAGCGTCAGCCTTCTAAGGGACCGGTCATTAATTACAAGGGACGGGGAGGGGGGGGAGGTGAAAAAGAGGGGAGTTCAGATATTTTTCTGCATGAAAGGAGGGGGAACATTTTTGTTCAATATGAATACCTGCCCCGTGACCCCATCATATCATATAATCTACAGGTGAAAAATAGAGAGCAGTACACCTGTGGTAAGCACAATGCCAAATATTCAAATCCAAGGTCACAACAACATTTATTAAAATTTATTAAACTGAACATAAAGTAATAAGTGTACTTATTTTTTACTCATTGAGATGGTTCATTGCATGTACATTGCATCGGAATGGCCGTTGACTCGATTAATGGTAGATAATATATAAAGATATATAGGATAATATGATTAAAGTGGCTTCACATTGTATAAGAACTTTAAATTACGTATGTCTCTTTTGTTATTGCATCCTCAAGTGGGGGGGGGGACATAATTTTAACATCTAAGTTTTCATTTCCATCAGCTCCTCTCCTGTAATTAATGATCGGTCCCTAATATGTGTGCTGGAAGAGCACTGAAGACGCCAGACGCATGCTGGAATTTGGTTGGTGCATGGGAGGTTGGGGACTCAACGGGATTTCTTGCACCAACACTGTACCATAGATATCACAAATTCTTATCTTCTAATTTGCTCATATGATTATAATCGCTTCCATGCCTATTTTTTAACAGAATAAGAATATAGACCAGTGGCGTGCTGGGTACTATTTTTCTGGAGGGGCCAGTGGGCTGTCAGCCAATATGCGCCCCTATAATGTTACACTTGATAAACGAGGGCCGAAGGCACGAGCCGAGTGCCGCAGGTGCGAGGTTTGTCTAGGGGGGACCGGGGGCATGCCCCCAGGAAAATTTTTGAATTTAGAGTCTCTGAAATGCCATTTCCTGGACTTTGGGGGAACATTTGACAGAAATCTGATGGTCAGGAAACGGCATTATAACGTGTCGAAATTTGAAATTTGGTTAGAATTTATGAGTAGTGCTTAAATTATGCAATGCTAACTACTTCCAGCGATTAATCTAATCCCAATTCTGTTCTCTACTGATCTACTGTTCTGAGCACATTTACAACTTAAAGCTCTTTTATACAATAACACACGCACCCCACGCACATGTATTTTAAGGTTTCTTTGCCTGGCTGCCAAAAGGGCATGTTTCAGCATTATTTCATTACTTACATTACTCATGCTTCTTGTGCAAACGACTAAATCGCGTACACAACTTTACATCAGTTATCATAACTTCAACTATCTAATTTGCGCCGCTCTCGTGATTCGTGAAGCATAATTCTCGTGACCATAAGGGCATAATTCTCGTGATCGCTTCGATTGAAACCTGACCAATATTCCGGTAATGAGACATTGCCTGTGATCACTGATCATGTTTCTATATGAACGATTTCGTGTGAGCTGTGAGGTAGCAAATACGGTTAGGCAAAATAGTCTGTAATTTAATATATGTCGCCAATGCGCTTAGTCTGTTTTATACTGTAGCCTATAAACACGTCTTTTCTTGGCGGAAGTAACCATTTTTTTTCGAGAATGCGTTTTTTCCGACCCACTTTCAAAATTCGGCGCCCCTTTTTCATTTTTGCGCCCCTCAAGAATTGCCAGCTGAGGGGGGGGGCGTGGCCCCCGGCACCCCCCTGCCAGCACGCCACTGAATATAGACGACGAGTTGGAAATAACGTTCTCTCCAGACATGTCCACACCTGTTTGTGAACGAACAACGTTTGACGTTGGAAGTACTGGCATGAGCCTGTACAAACCTGGCGAGACGTCTTTTACTTCGACTATTTCAGAAGATATATCAACTACACTGTCTACACCAAGAGAGAATCTCAATGCGTTTCTAACCTCAAGAGATGTTAGCCCCATCAGGTATACTTTATCAGCACCATTCGAAGAAGTTTCAGACCGAACAAAACGTTTTCACATGCGCAAAGCGCGCCAAGTTGTTACTGCGTGCCTAGAAGAAATCGTTCCTGGACAATCATCCACGCTACTTAAAGAATTAGCATGCGACAAGTTGGGCAGTGATAAAAATATTGATACTTTCTTATTGGATGCTTTAACGGAGTGTTATAATAACACGAGCCATTGGAGCACGCGTAGACAGATATTGTCTATAATGGTTGATAAGGTTACCTTCGAAGAACTGCAAAAATGGATACCAACCTTGACCAGATATCGTTTCAATATTGCAAAACATCATCTGTTGCTTCATGGTAGGGGCGCGGAACTCCCCCATTTAAAGAATACGAGAGTTTACATTCAGCCGGAAAAAATCGACCATTTTGTTACTTTTATTACAAGCTCGCATATCATACAAGACTTACCATTCGGAGAAAAAAACACTAAAACTGTCCACTCACAGAGAAATAAAGATTCCCAACGTTGTGCGCAATCTTATACCAGAACAATGTATCCAACAGTACGAAGGATATTGCAAAGAGGTGAGATTCCAACCGATGAGCCGCAGTACATTGCGCAGGGTTCTTAAAGTCTGTTCTGCTTCCGCACATACGTCGTTGCAAGGCCTCGATTATATATCAGCAATGGGTGGTCAGGCCTTTGATGATCTAGAGAACGTCGTTGACATGCTTGGAGATCGTTATGGCAAGGGTTTGGCATGGGCCAAACAAACAAACCAAAAACTCAAAGATGCTAAACGTTACTTAAAAGGAGACTACAAGGTATAAACAAGTGAAAGCTTATTGTATTTTTTGTAGATTCGCGCATGTAAGAATCATTCTAGAATAGTTGATTTTGTATCTGATTCATATATTCTTTTTAGATTCACATTTCTAGCAATTCTGAAGTTGCGGACCACTGCAGAACATATGCTCTCAGTTTTCCAAATGATGAAAATTATACTAACAGCTGTGATCATGAGCACAAGGGAAAGTGTGATAGATGCAGTATATTTCCTGAGACTCTAGCTGATATTTGCGCATCTTTGGAAGAAGTAAATTGCCCTCTTGAAGAGAAAGAAAACATGGAGTACGATGTATCCAACCTACACAAGCAGCTCAACACATGGAAAGTACATATTTTAAGATCAATTAATCAAGACGCAGCACGACACGACATTTTAAAAGTCTTGGATTCTCATTCTGCACTTATCGTTTTAGACTGGGCAATGAAATTCATTCCTCGCAAATACCGTGAAAGCCAAAGAGATTGGTTTGCAAAACGGGGACTTCCTTGGCACATAGCGGTATAGACTTGGATCAAGTCCGTCTCTCTAGAGTCCGAGGGAGAGCGCGAGGTGCAATAACGCGTGAAAGTTTGAGGGAGAAGACGGACATGGCTCACCTGCAAGCGCGCCAAATTTACCGACCCGTTTTTCCGTCGGTAACGCGTCATAACTAGATTGCAATAATTTATGCTAATTGCAATAGAGCGGAAATAACAAAGTATCTTGTTTCAAAATGTATAGCGTGCTGTCCATAGATATGGTGCTGTCTGTCTTCGTGTCCGGTTTAGTTTATACTTAAATGATGAATACGTTTTAAGAAGGTTATTGATATGATTATACTATATAAAACTGCACAACTAGTGTCACACTATTATTTTTTTTTACTTATATTAAGTGTCACGGCAAACTTCATGATCACACGAAATGTTGATACAGTCAGGGATATTTTGTTCAATGTTCAGGACAAATTTTGTGCATATAGTCATAATAACTAACTAGAAGAGTCTATAGATACGATTTAATAAAAAGTGTATCTTTAAATATAAGTCTTATAGTTATATATTAAAGGCGTATTTTAGTTTCGATCGCGACGGGTATTTTAATAATTTTGCCCTGACACTTGCGGTTTCCGTATTTGTAACAAAACCGCTAAATTAAAAACACCTGTCTATTAACATAATTCCCGCCAAAATAATAAATCTGATTCGAAACATTGCAGGTGAGCCAAGTCCGTCTCTCCCTCCTCTCTTGCACCTCGCGCGCCGCTTCGCGGCGCGCTCGATCTCGTCGCTTCGCGACTCCAACTCTAGAGAGACGGACTTGATCCAAGTCTAATAGCGGTATTAACAAAGAAGAATGATGATGGCGACCTCCAAGTTCTTACTTTTTTGCACTTGTTTAAGTCTTGTAGCCAGGATAGTGGCGCTGTTGTTGCAATCATTCATGACGTCTTAAGTCAACTCTCAACCATTGCACCAGAGGTGCATACCGTATATCTGCGTCAAGATAATGCAGGGTGCTACCACTCTGCTTTAACTCTGCTTTCTCTTCCAACGATAGAGAGATCAACTGGAATTCAAATCAGACGTATCGATTTTTCCGATCCCCAAGGGGGGAAGGGAGCGTGCGACCGAAAGGCAGCTCATATTAAAAATCACATGAATAAATACCTGAATTCAGGGAACGATATCGAAAATCCCGAGCAAATGAAGGCAGCAATCGAGTCCTTTGAAGGCATCCCAGGAGTGAAAGTAACAGTGTGCGCTCCACCACCTGGTGTCAAGGGAATGGCAGGGGAATGGGATGGTGTGAGTCTCATTAACAACATAGAGTACCCCAACGAGTCCATGACGGTGTG